TAGTACTGGTAGTAGTAGTAGTAGTATGATTAGTAGTAGTAGTAGTAGTAGTAGTAGTAGTCGTATAGCAGTATAGTAGTAGTAGTAGTAGCAGCAGTAGTAGTAGTAGTAGTAGTAGTAGTAGTAGTAGTGGTAGTAGTAGTGGTAGCATCAAGAAGAGAAATAATCGTACTAGAAGTAGTAGTAGTAGTAGTAGTAGTCGTAGTAGTAGTAGTAGTAGTAGTAGTAGTAGTAGTAGTAGTAGGTGGTAGTTGTAGTGGTAGTGGTAATGATAGTGGTAGTGGTAGTGGTTGTAGTAGTAGTAGTAGTAGTAGTAGTAGTAGTAGTAGTAGTCGTAGTAGTCGTAGTAGTAGTCGTAGTCGTAGTCGTAGTAGTAGTAGTAGTAGTAGTAGTAGTAGTAGTAGTAGTAGTAGTAGTAGTAGAAATAGTAGTAGCCGTAGTAGTAGTAGACGTAGTAGTAGTAGTCGTAGCAAGATCAGTAGTAGTTGTAATAGTCGGCGTCGTAGGAGGATGTTCTAGCGAGGATATTACGCTGATCAACACAACGAATCTGATACTCCTGGTGAATATTCAATCTACGATTGGTACTTCCCCCATGATGTTAGGACACACCCTTCCCACCGACCAAAACTGCCTTGACGGGAGATCATCACGATTTTGGTGGGAAGAGGGGAGGTATGCATCATTATCGGGGGCATGCTGCTAGGGTCTGCCTGTTCGGAGCTCCCTGTTCGCTACGTGTGAGTGTGTGTGTGTGTGCGTGCGCGGGAAGGAGTAGGAGACGCGCAGGAAGGGGGGGAGGGAGGTCGGGAAAAAGGAGGGCGAGTCAGAGGAGGGAGCGGATAAGGATGGAGGGAGAGGAAGAGGAAATATTAAATCAAGGAGAGGGTGAGCACTGCGCGTGCTAAATGGTTCAGTATTTCGCGGCTGGGCGACTTGCATTGCGCCAACCACGCGAGCTATGAATGGGAAGAGACGACGACGTGAATGAGAGGACGACCAGTGTGTGCTCGTTCCCGTCCACCTGCCCCCGTTCATCGTCCTGCTACCCCTCATCCCTCATCCTTCCTCCTCCGACTCTTTCCCCATCCACCCTCCCTTCTCCCCCATCGTCCGACCGGTTTCTCACAAGACCTTGGCGCTCGTTCTGACCGATGTCTGAATACCAGTTGCTGCCAGATAGCTGCGTGCCGCCCTCTTCTGACGGGCCGCGAGCCTCATCAGAGTCGCAATCCAAACAATCCCCATCTTCACACCCCATCATCCTCATGCTTCTGCGCCTCCACCCGTTCCTCCCTGGCTCTTTGGGAACGAGACCAGGGTGCCCAGTCGTCGCTAGAAAGTGGTGATGCAAAGTGCAAAGGGACAGTCGCGCGCAGTGCCGCGCAGCGATGGGCGATTGCGGTGGCCGCCTTCGGAGGCAGCGGATGCAACGAACCAGCGCTGAACGCAGAAATTCGGCACCGCGCTGCTACCGACAGACCCTGTAGTGCGACAGCGCTTAGACTCTGCGGCGCTGCGGTAGAAATGCCGCAACGCTACGCGGCTAGTCAACATGAAGGAAAAGGGCCCTGGTGGAAGCGGGTCCTGGACCCCAACGCCTTGCCTAAGACAACCCGCTCGTTTGGAGAAAACCAAACGGTACCGGTACCGCTAGCACTCCCTGGACCTCTCCCAGGGTGCGTTCCGACCAGGATTCCGAGGCGAATCCAGCGATGGCGACAAGGGCATCCCAAGAGGCCCCCAAAAGGGAACACGGCCGAAGGGTAGCGGTATGGGTACCTTTTCCTCCTCCGAGTCCTGGACCCCAGGGTTTCGCGAATCGTTCCTTACCACCCTTCCCTATTTTTGTCCCCAAGGGATTCCCGTCCCAACCAGACTCTGGCCCAGCGTTCGGCCATAGGCCGGGAGCGGCCAAGAGGGGGGTGTCCAAGAGGGGGGGGTGCAAATCATGACCGGTGGCATGTGTACGGCCCAGCGGGGGGACCAGGGACGTAATGAAATAAGAAGAGGCGCCATGAAATCTGCGGAAATATCATGACCCCCGCCATGATATCCACCCCCTCCCAGTCATCACCCCCCTCTTTGCTGCCCCCGAATAGGTGGGAAAGCAAAACAAAAAAAGGCACCTGGATTTCGAGGCGAATCCGGCCGTGGCCACGAGGGCACCCCATGGGAGACTCAAAAGACCAACACGAAAGACCAAACAACGCTGTCGGCACCTCTGTCTCCTCCGGCAGGGGCGCCGTCACGTGCCCTGAGATCTGACGTCACGACCAAAAGGCAACATCGGAACAAATCACGGCATGGACCCTTGACTCTTTGACCCCATGTCTCTGGCTGCAGCAGCGCATCTTTTCATTCGCGGCGATGTCGATAACGGGCGTTGTGGAGGAGGGGAGGGGGGCGGGGTGGTAGAACATAACGCCCGCGCCCTTCACCGTGACAGGTTGTTGTGCCGGACGCTCCACGGCAGTGTTAGGGACGCAATGGGAGGGAAGGAGCGTTACGCCATGGGGGGAGGTGGAGGAGGGGGGGGCATAACGAGCGTTATGACCCAAACGGTAAAACAAAAACACTCTCCAACCAGGGGGGGCGCCGGGAAAACCGAATTACGTTTCGTCCGAAGTCGTGTCATCTGAACGAACTTATCCAAGGATAAACTCATCAACAGACAAATTCATCCAGAGACAAAATCATCCGCAAAAAGATACGTCCAGAAGGGCTTACCATAACGACTTCGCCTTGACGACTTCGTCTGGAAGAACGTTCCTATTCGTTGCGGCAGGAATCGTTCAGGTGGAGCAGTTGGCGGCACGCACAAGGTGGTAATTAGGGGGAGGGGCGGACGCTCCTTAGAAAGAGGCTGCTTCTTAGAAGGCACGGGCCTTACATTTGATAGACAAGGCCCGCGCCTTCTAAGAAGCAGCCTCCTTCTGAGAAACCCCTTCCCCCCTCCCCCATAGCCCCCTCTGCGCGTGGCCGGAACTGGTCGTCCTTCCCTGTTGGTTCGCCGCGGGCGCCCTCAATAGATCGCGACACTCCGACGGCGGCTGGCGGGGGAGCGGAGGGCGGGGCGCGCTTCGGCAGCATGGCGCGGCGCTCCTCGACCGAGACGTCCTCCTCGGTCGCCGCGCCTCTTGGGCGGGGCCCCGCCAGGAGTCGGGCAGTGACGCTGTCTCGGCTCGGGGGGGGCGATAGGGCAGGATACCAAAGGGTCTGGTATTGAGCAGGGACCGACCGTCCTGGCATTCCTAATAGTCCTACCACTAAATCTTCTTAGAACCCTAAAAATGTTCAAAGGACATAAACAGTATTCTTAGAACATAAACCCGATGTGATAAAACAAGACAAACTCCCCCAGAGATGTTCTAAGACCATCTCGTGGAAACCACAAAAGGCTCTTAGAATTTTGTTTGGTAGGGCTATAGGCGAGCAAGGACGCTTCGCCACTGCTTGATGGTAGAGAACGCTGGCGTCTCCTGGCGCCGGGAACCGCCCATCTATCCAAGAATGGGCCCAGTGGCGCGGCCGAAACTGGCTGCACGCAGCAGGTGCCGTACGCCCCCCCTTTCCCTGTCCTTCCCTTTCGTCCAGTACGATCTGGAGCCCCTGACAACGGAGCATATGTTGGCGGCGAGCGAGAGGGGAAGCGACAAGGCGGCCTTCTCAGAAGGCGGCGGGGCTTCCTGGAAGCCCTCTGGCCTTCTAAAATGCTCTGCGTCTTCGCGGGAGGCTTAGAAAACTTGTCAGAAGCCAGATGACTCCGAGCCTTCAGAGAAGGCTTGCCCCTCTCAATTCTCCCACGGGCTGGCCGCCGAAAATGAGTGAGACTTGAGGAGGAGGAGGAGGAGGAGGAGGAGGAGGAGGAGGAGGAGGAGGAGAAGAAAGAGGAGGAGGAGGAGAGGAGGAGGAGGAGGAGAAGAAAGAGGAGGAGGAAGAGGAGGGGGAGGAGGAGGAGGAGGAGGAGGAGGAGGAGGAGCATGTGACCCAGCCCCCCTCGCGTTTTGAACAGAAACGCGATAGATAATTTTGGTATGTTTGAGCCTCTGGGGGCCCCCCCTGGCGCTTGGACGTGAACTGCACAGGATGAAAAGCCGGTCCCGGGGAATCGGTCGAGACCTCTGGGGGCCTTCGTTGTGGAGACACCGTGACGTTCGGGCTCTGGGGTGCAGCAAAGCCGCGGCCTGGCTGCTGCCACGGCCCCGCTGCCGCTGCTGGCCGCACCGGCCCACTCGACAGTGAATTCTTCCGCGTCTGAATGCCCTCCCCCTCCTCGAGAGCAGGGACCGACCGTCCCGGCATTCCTATAGTCCTACCACGAAATGTTCTTAGAACCCCAAAATGTTCCAATATCAAAAACAATGTTCTTAGAACATGAACCGATGAGTTTAAAAAAGACAGTCGCAGCCAGAAATGTTCAAAGAACTTTTCGTGGAAACCACAAGAGGTTCTCAGAACATTGTTTGGTAGGCCTGCAGGCGAGCCAGGATGCTTCGCCACTGCTTGACCTCCTCCTGTCCTCCGCGGCCGCCTCGTCCCCCGTTTCCCCCCTCTTGCACGCTGGCCAATTCTCGTGTGAGGTCGCCCCGGACCGCCGCTCGCTGGAGCAGCACTCCTGCCTCGCCGCCGACGTCAAACAGCTCTGGGGAGGGGGGGACGAAGAGACGGAGAGCTCTCACGGGGAGATTGCTTTTCGACCCCCCCCCTCGTGACGTCCGTTCGGCGGTGGACAAGCCTCCCTTTAGGAAACCTCCCTTTAGTGAAAACGGCCTGGGACCGAAACCGACAGACCTGGACCCACAAAAATGACGGCCGCGACGCCCTCTCGCGAACCGAAAACGGCCAATTCCTTAATCGACGTGTCAGGGCAGGAGGTCTATCCACCTCCGACGCGGGAAGATTGCTTTTGATGCCCCCCCCGTGACGTCCGTTACCTGGGGAGAAGGGGAGGGGGGCCTGTCAGCACCACAGCATGCCTGCGAGCACCATGCCAGGCCTGCGGGGGAACCTGCCGCCCTCGCGTGACTGCGGGCTCCCCGAAGAATTAGAAAACAATGGCACCAAAGAAAAAACCCAATCGGTGGATAATTTGAAATGGGGTCGATAAAGACATCGATAGAAAAATCGGCCCGGAACCCGGGAACCCGGAACCCACCGAATCCGCCAGGAACCAATAACCAGGAACCCGGGAACCCGAACCCAGCCGGCTACCCAACTCGGCGGGAAACTGTCGCCAAATCTTTCAATATCTGCTATAGGACCCCTTCAGTGCAAGCACTGATTGGGGAATATCGATGCGAGTGAGAGGCGGACGTTTTTTTCGCCTGCGGCGCGGCGGAGGCGATCCGCACCAACGTCGGGCTCATCGGGGGCACCGATCGGCAAACTGTCCGGCGTGCAAGAGAGCGGGAGGGAGGCGAGGACGGCAACAAGGGGGGAGAAGGAGGGGAGGCGCTCAGACGCGGAATAATTCCGCGGTTAAGTGCAGGGAGAAGAGGACAAAAAGGGGGCCGACTCGAAATCCCACAAGCGAGTTCGGTGCAGCCCGGCCGTCCCCTCCCCTCGCCTCTGTCTTGCGCTGTCGCTGGCGCCTTGCGAGCTGCCCACCGACGCAATTGTGCATCTCACGAGCGGCGGAAGTATCGCCGCCTCTGCGCCCTCGCGGTCTGGACTCCTGGACGCGATGCGGCGGATATGCATTCGAAAGTCGCTAAGGATGGAGGAGGAGGAGGAGGAGGAGGAGGAGGAGGAGGAGGAGGAGGAGGAGGATGGAGGAGGAGGAGGAGGCAAGGATGCAAGGGCACCCTTGGGGAAATTGCCCATCCCTGCTATGAGGGTCGCAGGGACACATTCCGCGGGGGGCATCCGCGAATGAGCGCCCCGCATCCGCGGGTTCGCGGCCCGGGGGCCCAGCCCGCGAGGCCGCGGATACAGGAATGTTCTCGCCCACGAGCCTCCACTGAGTCACATCCAGTCAGGAGGCAGAAACAACTAACTGCTAACACAGAATGTTGGAGGTCCGCGTTGATTTCTTGGATCGGGGCTGGACCCCTTCCCTGGCGTGCGGAGCGCGTCGGGGGCGGCGCTGGAGGCGCTGCCAGGGTGGCAAGTGCCGATCCGAGAGCTCCCAAAATTAACGGTTTTGCTGTTTTTCTCTTTTCTTCGAGAGGACGGGGGATCGAATTTACAGACATCGCGCGCACGCATCCTAGCCTTATCCTGCATCCTCGGGGGGCCTTGTCTGCACCGTCGAAGCCCTATCCGCGTCGACTCCGTGTCGACCTCTTGGGATCTGTGTCGAATCCGTGTCGAATCTGCGTCGAGTCCGCGCCAGATCCGCGTCGCGTCCGGCTCGAGCCCGCGTGGGGCACAAGAAAAGACACGACTTCGGGGGGGGCAGGCGGGGCCCCCCCGAGAATGCAGCGCAACCAGCCACACCATCAGGACTGATGGGGGTGAGATGCTCAAGAGCGCGCTCGCGCCGCGCAGATCTCAGCCCCAGATGCCTGCATCGCCTGCTGTCGAGACAGGCGTGCATCACCTCGGCAGGGGTCTCGCCTCGCGACTAGTGCACATCGCCCCGCAGTGGGGACGGGGAGGGAAGGACACAAGTTGAGCGAGCAACGACATGTACATGTACGCCCTCCGCGGTCTTGCGTGCACAAACCTCCGCGTTGCTGACCGCGTAGGTGTACAGATGTTGTTGGCCTGTGATACGTGAAAGGGAAGAGGAAACAACACAGGATGAGGAAGAGCCGTGAAACTCCTCGACCGAAACGTCCGACTCAATCGCTGGGGGCTCTGGGATGCTCTGGTAAGGCCTTCGTGCGCGAGGTCATTCCGAATTCTAACGGTTCTGAAGCGCCAGTTGAGCTGGAATGGCCCAGAGTGGGCCAAGTATCAGTCAGGACACCAGGGGGCGATGCTGCATGCAACCTTGTCCCAAACCGACAGCGGCCGCTGTTGGGCAGACGGCTTCTTGTCTTCAAAGAACCACGTCCGCGGCGGCGCGGACCGCGAGTCGTGTTCAAACTGATCAGGAACTGCTGTTGTAGAAAAAAAGGAGGCGCAAACATAAGCTTTTCCCGCTCCGCGCGGAATTCTTGGATGTGCGCTGGACTCCCCTCCCCAGCGCGCGGGGCGCACCACGGGCGGCGCCAGAGGCGCTGCCGCCCAGGGGGGAGGGGCCCAGCGCGGACCCAAGGAATCCGCGCGGAGCGCCAGCAAATTGTTGGTGCCGTTGTTTCTCCTTCGATGTTGGGCGTCATCCCACTTCTTCTTCTCTCCTCGTACCCCTGCGATCGCCCCGATCGTGCAATTGTTGTGCCTCTCCTTCTCTGCGTGCCCACTGCGATCGCCCCGACCTCTTGCGCGTGGCTGGTACTCCCAGGGCGGCAGGCGGCTCGTTGCCTTCAGAGAACACAGGGTCCACGGCGGCGCGGGCAGCGAGTCCCGTTCAAAGTGCACAGGAACTGCTGTTGGGCATCGCACACGCTGGCCGGAAAAAGTGGGTAAGAACATGAAAAGTAGAAGGTGGATAAAGTAGATTGGGTTCAGGCCCTTCCAGAGAAGAACAACACACAGCAGGGGCATATCGATTCTTGAAGTAGGAAGGCGCTTGAAGCAAATTGGTATCTGGGAATCTCTGAGTACCTACTTTCAACAACCAGCGCGTACCCGACGTTATGATTTTTTTCGTGACGTCGACCCGCGGAGTCCCGACCAATTCCCCAAGACCAATTTTTCATCCTGAGTCGTTTTTGGACGGCCCCGCAGCCCGGGAAGGGCCCCCAGGGGCCGAACACCGTGAAAAACCTCGCGCCGTGATTTTGTTCATGACTCGAGGGGGTCTGGGTCCTTTCCTTACCCACTGCGGTCGCCCCGACCCCTCTGCGCGGTGGCTGCCACTCCCAACGGGCGGCAAAAAGGGTGCGGCGGCCTTCGGCAGCGAATCGCGGGAGCCTCGTCTACCCTCGCAGAATTCCGCCTTTGGAGTGCACCAGCGTCGATTCGCGTCTGGTAATCGATGAGGGGGCGCCAGTTTAGTGCCGATCAGCGCCGAAGGCATTTCGTACTCATTCTCTCCGTACCCATGTCGGTCGCCCCGGCCCTTCTGCGCGGTGGCTGCTGCTCCCCAAATTGAGCAGAGACCGTCCGTCCCGGGATTCCTATAGGCCTACCACGACATGTGCTTAGAACCAGAACGCAATGTTCTAATAACAAAAACAATGTTCTTAGAACATAAGCCGGATGTGCCAAAACAAGACGAGCCCAACCAGACATGTTCTTAGAACACGCCGTGCAGACCACATTAGGTTTTTAGAACATTATCTGGTAGGCCTATAGGCGAGCTAAGATTGAAGATGCGACGACAATGGACACCCTAACAGTCCTATCCTTGAAATTAAAAATGTGTTCAACATGTCGGAAACATATAACAAACATAGTTTGCACATGCTGTAACATGTTTGAAACATGCTTAACACATGTTTTAGACATCTGAAAACTATTTGGCAATATGCCTCCTCTCTATTGATCGTCCTCCACAACATTCTTTGGTAGCCCCATAGGCGAGCTGGGACGCTTCGCCACTGCTTGCCCGGGGGGGGGGGCAGAGGCCGCGGCGGGTGCCGGGGCCTGCGCCGCCCTGCCCGTCGCTCCGCGGGCGCTTGTCGGGCGGCTGGGGCGGGCGGCGCGGGCGGCGCGGGCCGCGAGGCTGCGGCGTCGGCGTCGGCGTCGCCGCCGTGCTCCGATCACAGAGGCCTACTAGATGGGGTCGGAGTAGACGGGGTCGGAGGACCGCGCCGCATCGCCGATACATCGGCGATACATCGGCGATGCATCGGCGATGCGCTTGTCGGGGGCGGGCAGCGCGCGAGCGGCGCGGGCCGCGAGGCTGGGGCGTCGGCGTCGGCACCGCCGCCGTGCTCAGATCTCGGGCCGGGCGAAAAGGGGGGATAACAAAGGGGGGGTTTGAGGATCAGCTCACGAAGCTGATTTTTCCGGCGCCTCCCGGCGCCGGAGGCGCCTATGTATTGAGGAATGGGCCCGGCGGCGGGGCCGAAACCAGCTGCATGCAGCAGATTTCGTAACCCCCCCTTTCCCTATCCCCCATCTCGTTCGGCCCAACGATCACGAGGAGCAACGAGACGGGCAACCCGTGTGGCAAGGAGGCGCGACAGGGATGCAAGGGCCTCAGAGGGCCACGCCGAAGCTCTTCGAGCGGGGCGCGGCCAACAAAAAATTGGCCGAGGATGGGCCGAGGAGGCAGGGATGCAAGGGGTACCCTTGGGAAGGCTGCCCATCCTTACTGTGCCAGTTGACTGTAGGGGGGGGAGAGGCAGAGGGGTGGAAACATCGACCCGGAATCGGCGATGCTGAAGGGGCTCAAGGACACACAAATAATACACACAAATGCCAAGATCCCTTATATTTTCCCTTGTTTTCAAAGTGTTCGCACCTCCCATGGGGAATCGGCGATTCCCTGTGTCTGTGTGTTCTCTTCTCCTCGGGAGCATCGACCCGGCATCGGCGATGCATCGCCGACGAGCGCGGCGAGCGGCCCCCGACAGCGAGGCCGCGCGCTCCTGGGCGGCGGGGGCGGGCCGCGGGCCGCGGGCGCCGCTGGCCCTCGGCTTCGGCGTCGACGTCCCCGCCGACCTCGCCGAGCACGAGGGGCGGCGACCGCCGTGGAGGGGCCCACGGCGACGTGGGCAGCGGCGGTGCAGGCCGCGGCTCTGTGCGGGAGCGCGCGGCTCGCGCTCCTCCCGCACTCCTCGCGCGGTCGTGCTCGCGCGATGCCGCCGCGGACGGGAGGTGCAGGAGATGTGCAGCTCGTGATCTCCGACATTAGATTCCAGACGTCACCGCTGGGCAACATCGCTGTTCGCCCGGCCCTGGGAGAAGGGGGGATAAGGCACGAAGGGGGAAGCATCGACCCGGAATCGGCGCTGCATTGCCGACGAGAGCGGCGAGCGGCCCCCGGTGGCGAATCCGTTTGCTCCTGGGCAGGTTGGGGCTATCGGGCCCCCCTCGGCGATCACTGGGCGATTGGGGGTCGATGCGTCCCCCCCTTATGCCTGTTCCCCCCCACCGTTGCCCCTGGGATAAGCAATCATAATACCCCTGACCCTTTGGGAGGGGACCGAAGTTCGGAGGGCCAACACCATCAGGGATATGGGGTCTTTGCCTGCGGATGCAACAGACGAAACCACCCACATCTTTGGGCATACCCCTTGAAGCCGTGGACCCAAGTTAGGCCACGAATTCATTGCTATGTTAGGGTTAAAAGCTGTTCTACGCTGAATGATCCTCGGTTCTGATTTCGGTGCCGGTATAGCCACCGTCGCCAGCGGCGTCGAGGTCGATGTCGGTAACGATGTCGTCGCCCTCCGCCGTGGCGTTCCGCGGTTTCGATACCGATCTCTCGGGCGCGAATGAATGGGGGGCGACAAATGGGAGGGGAAGGAAGGTGCCCTTCTCGGGCTCTAAAGGGCCCCTTCTGGGCCCTAGAGGGACCATGCAGGGGCCCTAAAACGTCCCTTTCTGCAGCCCTCGCTAACCCCCATTTACCGCCCCCTACTTACCCGCCCCCCACGTCGGTACCTTCACCGCCGCCGCTGGCAGCGCCGATGTCGGCGTCGCAGTCGGTATCGTTGTCGTCGTCGCCGCCAACGGCTTCGATCTCGATGTCGTTATCGTCGTCGGTGTCGTCGACGTCGGGGGCCCCTGCACCTCCTCTGTCCTCCATACCTACGGGCACGCACTGACATGGATCGGGGATCCGTGGATTTGGCGCGTGGGCGCCAGAGAAACCACCGAAAAATGATGTCGGTGCCGCCTGATTTGGCGATGCAGCGCGGCGATTCTATATGACTGCGGCACCCGCCGCACATCCACGCGCCTCAACCATGACTGCGCTCCGTCGACTATCCTCCATCCTTCCTCCTCCTTCCCCTCACCTCGTCCTACTCCTCCCCCCTCCTTCCCCTCCCCCGGCTTCGCCATCTCCTCCTCCTCCTCCTCCTCCTCCTCCTCCTCCTCCTCCTCCTCCTCCTCTCGCTTATCCTCCTCCTTCCCTCCCCCTGTTTTTCCTCCTCTTCCTTTTTCTGTCCCCCCTCCTTCCTCAACCCTCATTACCCCCCTCGTACGCGCGCCCGCAGGGCAGGAGCAAGAGGGGAGGAGCACGAGCAGGAGGGCGGAGGTGGAGGAGGCGGGGGAGGAACGAGGCGGGAGGAGCACGATGGATTTTTATCCAACAACAACAGCAACAACAACAACTACACTTCGATTGCCGACTGACTACCTACCAGACCACCCCAACCCAACCCGAAGATCCCAATTTCGGGTTGGGGGGGGTACGGGTTCCATATGTGTTTTTTCAGTGTTCCCCGACCCCCCCAACTGGAAATGGAGGGCAAATTGAGGCCTTCAGGTTGGGTTGGGGTGGTTTGGTGGGTGGTGACCGACTGTCCGAGGCGACCCAAGCAAACGGCACTGTTACTGGTTTAACCACCCAAAGCTCCAACCGACTAGACGTCACCACAACCGCGTGTGTGTGTCACGGAAAGAAAGGCTACGATTGTCTGTTTATTATGTGGCCGTCGAAGGTTACCTACTGCTGATTCGACTTCCTCTCTTCTCCTCTCCTCTCCTTTCCTCTCCTCCTCATCCTCCTCCCTACTCCTTCTGATCCTGCTGATCCTCCTGCCCCTCTTCATCCTCCTCCTCCTCCACCTCCTCCTCCTCCACCTCCTCCTCACGTTTTCCTGCTGATCCCGCTGCAACCTCCACTTCGTCCTCCTCCTTCTTCCCCTCCTCCCTCTTCCCTCCTCCTGCTCCCTCCTAGTTTCCTTACGTATTCCTGCTGATCCTGCTACAACCTCCACTTCCCCCTCCTCCCTCTTCCCTCTTTCTGCTTCCTCCTAGTATGTCTCCTGGTGTTCCTTCTCCTCCCTTCGCGGAGTTGGCAAGCGCAGCATGAGGGAGGCGGTGGGAGATGCGAGCAAGGGAGGTGCAAGTGACAGGAGGAAGGGAGGAGTGACAAGGCGTAGACAGGAGGGGCGGCAGCGCAGGAAGAGAACAGTGGCGGAGAAAGAAAAGGATGGGAAAGAGATGGTTGGGGGCAAGAGGGAAGGATATGGAGGAGGGGAGGAGGGACACCAAGACGGGCAAAAGACGGGAAGGGAAATGAGGGAGGCGGCAAAGGGACGAGTAAGCGGAAGGGGGGGAGAGGGAGCGGTTTAAGTAGGAAGGGAACGAACGATTTGATAAAGGACGAGAAGGACAAGGAACCAAGGATGGAGACAAACTGAAAAGAGAAACATACCGCTACCGTTAATGAGGGGAAGCTGAAACGGAAACGCGCATATGACGTCCAGGGGGTCGCCCCTACGTGGTGCTAAGCGGTGGGGCTGGGGCGGCATTGTGTTCAATCCATAACCCATTGTTGTGTCGCTGTGCGTCGTCCTGTGTGGGACAAGTGCAAATCGATTTTGACAATGAATCAATGCCCATCAACACAGATTATCGACCTCCACTACGCAAAGAGCACAGATACGTGCTGCCACATCGTCGGTCCACCGATTGCACGGCGGGTGCTGCCATCGATTTGCATTCACGTGAAAGTACTCTCGCAAACCGCCGTAGCGAGAGACCTCCACTGTAACCGTCTCTGCCGTGCACAACCAACACCTAAGATCGGCACGATATCTCTTGGCATGTCAGGTCGTGCGCCAGAGCGTTTCCAAGAGAGCTTGATCTCGATGTCGTGGTGGTGCCCGTGTCGTCAGACTCGGCGCCATTCCTGCTAGAACAGCTGCATGTGGTAGTCGCATCTTTGCTGCTGCTTGGGGCATAGATGAGGAGCAACGATATGGGTGACAAGCAGGAGGGGGATGGATCGACGTAAAATCGGCGATACATCGCCGATAGATCGGCGATAGGCCCCTGATCGTGAATCCATACGCTCCTGGGCAGGTTGGGGCTATCGGGCCCCTATCGGCAATCAATGGGCGAGTAGGGGTCGATGCATCCCCCCGTCTGCCTGTTCCCCCCTACTGTTGCCCCCGAATAGATCAAAACAGCGGCTGCATCTTCGGGCCGGCAATTCGCATCATGGTCTGCTCGAGTATCTGACGCCAGGCGCAGTGGAGATCCAGGAGTCAATCTGAGAACGTGAGGCTGCGTAGACCTTAGTTCGGCGGCGAGCCCGGGCGGGAATCGAGAAGGAGCGGGCCTTCTCTGAAGGCTCGGGGATCCCCGGGCCTGCGGAAAAGCCCCGCCGCCCTCTCAGAAGGCCTCCTCCGTCTCATGTCTTCCCCCTTCGCTCGCCGCCGAGTAGATCGCAGTCGTGACTCGAGCGAATCTATCCTTGTCCAAAGCCCCGCCCCGTAGAGAAGCGTTGGAGAGGCGGTGCCGTGGAATAGCCGCAGACGGTCTTTCAGCGAATGCGAGCGTGCAGTCAGTTCTTGTTCATACAGGCAGATTGTTTTCCAGGCAACTTTGATTCTGGAAGGGCGAAGTGGAAGGGCAATGCTCACAGAGGAGAAGAAGGGATAATTGGGGGAGGGGGGCAGAAACCGTGCCATTACATACGTATGTCATCACATCACACTGCTTCCACAACTGCGGCCACCAATATCCGCAAGCGTACCCCCCTGACACGCTGAGGCGGGGTAGAGTACATAGGGCTGTCTTTCAAGGACTCTGACAATTCTAACGCCCCCCCCCACACTCTGCTCACACTCAGGCGCAAGCATCGCCCCCCCCCTCACGAGGCCACGACCCCTGGTACAACACCTACGGACCCGCGCTCACGAAATAACGATGCTCCCGAGACGCTCCAGGCACGCAAGCAAGGCCGCCAAGAAGGCCCAGTGTGCCTTCAAGGCGGCTCAACAGCGCCCAAGGGGGCCACAAGAGGACCCCCAGCAAGTTACGAAGAAACCAAACTAATTGATTCTAAACTTAAAGCTATTGGGAGTTGTTGTGTGTGGCCGTTTGCGGGTTTTTGTCAGCTCAGGACGGCCCGAGCCACCTCCCAGATGGTCCCAAGAAGGCCCCAGAGGCCTAACGAGAACCCCAAAAGGACCTCATAATGGCCCAAGAGCCCAAGAGGCCTCCAAGGCGGCCTCCTGATAGACCCGAGGCGGCCTTAGAAACCCAATCGACAACACAAGACGGCGCCATGACGGTTCCGCGACTGTCCCATGACACCCACCATACGGCCAAGAGGGCCCCAAGGCGGCCCAAGAGGCCCTGAGGGACCATCCAAACTGCCTCCCCCCCACATACGCCCAAGACAGCTCGAAGACGGAGCACATGAGCTCCATGAGAGCTTATCTGGTGGAAGTGAATGCGAAAGGTGTCACACGTGACGGCCGTCCTACTCATCCGCGGTCTCATCCTGCTCCTGCTTATGATTATCCTCATCCTCGTCCTCCTCCTCATTCTCCACATCCTCTTACTTTTCATCACCATTCTCATCATCCTTGTCGAGATGCCTCCCAGATGGGGTCAGAGTCCGCATACTGAGTCGGAGGATCGCGCCGCATCGTCGATGCATCGACGATGATGCATCAGCGACATCGGCGATGCATCTGCGACGTCGGCGTGGAGACACTCGAGCTTCACATCGAGCCGCATCGCCGATGCATCAGCGCTGCGGCGCAGTCCTCCGATCCCGTCTGCTCGGACCGCATCTGGGAGGCCCCGCTCATCGCAGCTCTCCCAACGCTTGGGGACGCGAGGCGTCACGCATAACGGCCACCGTTCCGAGTAAGAGGGACAAGACTGCACGAACTCGTGCTGCTATCGGAGGCGCGGGCTGCAGGATGGCGCCGGCAAAGGGAGCTTCTGCACACACATAAACTTTCGAAGCGTCGCCGAAGGGGGCCCAGCGCAGACCCAAGAAACCCGCGCGGACCTCCGAAAGTTCGTGAGCTCGCGGGCAAGGTGCATATATATATATATATATATATATATATATATATATATATATATATATATAAATATATATGTATAGGTTCGCTGCATCTAGCAATTTCGGTCCCCCTTCCCCAGGCACCCGAAGCGCACTGGATATGATTAAAAACCTGGCCCGTAGAGGCTATAGTTCCGCTCATATCAACTGCACATCGGCCTTGTGGCGCCCCTTCCCAGGAAAGGCCAAGACGCAGTGGGTATGTGCATCAGAGTGAGGGGGCCGAACGGGCAATCATTGTCCCTGAGAGCCTGGCCAAAACGAGATTCCGTGTCCTAGATTCGTCACCCCGCAACCGCGACCCATCCGCGATTACCCCGCGACCCCCCCCCCACTCTCATCTGCAACTGCTCGCATTTCTATGCAGTTGTTTCTCCTTCGAGGTGCTGAACGCGCGCGCGCGGGCCGCGGCCGCCGCGGCGGAGCTTCGGGCACCGCGTAGCCAGGGCCCCAGGCCCCGTCGTCGTCGTCGTCGTCGTCGACGCCGCCGTCGTCGTCGTCGTCGGCGTCGTCCTCGTCGTCGTCGTCGTCGTCCTCGCCGTCGTAGCCGTAGTCGTCGCCGTCGTCGTCGGCGTCGTCCTCGTCGTCGTCGTCGTCCTCGCCGGCGTAGCCGTAGTCGTCGTCCTCGTCGTCGTTTTCGTCGTAGCCGTCGTCGTCGTCGTCGTCGTCGTCGCCGTCGTCGTCGGCGTCGTCGTCGGCGTCGTCGTCGGGCGAGCCGCGGCCGCCGCCGCGCCTCGGGCGCCGCGTCGCCGGGGCCGGGCGGCGGCGGCAGCGCGGGCGGCGCGCCCAGCGCCAGGGGCTCCGGCAGGCCCAGGGCGGAGAGCGGCGCCGCGCCTCCGGCGGGCGCGGGGCTGTCGAAGGTGCGTCCGTCCCGAAGCGCATCCTCCTCCGTGCTTTCCGTCCCTCCCCTCCCTGCCTCCCTCCCCGTCCTCCTCCACCCTCCCTCCCTCCCTCCCTCCCTACCCTCGTCCTCTTCCTCCCTCCCTCCCTCCCTGCTCGAACGTGCGTCCGTATCGTATCGTATCCTCCTCCCTCCCTCCCTCCGTCCATGCCTCCCCTCCCTCCTCGTCCTCCTCCTGCCTCGTCGGGGGCGCGATGTTTGTGTCCCCCCCCCCCCACAAACAAGCTGGTCTGACACAGGACCGCGGAGCGGAGGTCGTGAACAAAAATGGCATCCCATGCGGACACGATGTTTGTACACCACCCCCGAAGACAAGCTGGTCAGGCGCATCGTACGCAGGTGGGTGCGGTGGCCATTAATTGGCCCCGGACTCCTCCCTCCTGCCCCCTCCCTCCTCTCTCCTCCCTCCCCCATTCCTTCCTCCTCCCTCCTCCCTCCTCCTTACTCCCTCCCTCCCTCTCTCCCGCCTCAGTCTCCTCAGCCTCCTCCTCCTCCTCCTGATCCTCGTCCTCCGTCTCCTCCCGTATCCCTCCTCCCTACTCCCTCCCTCTCATCCTTCTCCCATTCTCCTTCAATCCCTCACTCCTCCCTCTCTCCCTCCTCCTCCTACTCCGCCTCCGCCTCGTCCTCCTCCTCCATCCGGATGTTGTCGTATCTTCGGAACGGCTCCAGGAAAGTCTTCGTACGAACAATTGAGGGCTCGGAAGAGATACATTCAGGGGCCACCGAGCCAATTGAGGCTGGACTGCGACCAAGCCGGTTTAAGCCTAATCTCACCAGCCCTCTGGGCGTAGGTGGGAGGGAGGGATTTACCCTGCTCGGTGGAACCCCAGAATCCTTCCTTCCCCTGCCCGGAGGAGGGGACTACCCCTCCCCCCCCCGCCCCTGAGCCTGGGAGCGACCCAGGGGAGCGTCCAAAATGGTCCAGGATCCTTCAAAATGGTTCGAGCTAGTCTCTGACATACGTCCAAGAGGCCACCAAACAGCCCCAAGACGGTTCCAAGTGCCCTTCGAACCGACCAAGGAAGAATTCCTTCAAAAACCTAGGGATTGGCCTTCTCGACTTTTGCTTCCGATAAGCAATTGAAACCTCAATTGTTCCCCACGGTAGCCCAAAATATCCCCAAGAGGCGCCCAAAAAGGTTCCAAGACGGCCCCAAGAACGCCCAACAGCGCTCTTAAAGCGGCCGGCCCAAAAGGACCCAAAGACGGCATGTTGCAGCCTCTGGGGATGGGGACCTGAATGTATGACCCCCCTCTCTTTGAGCCATGGGGCCCAAGACGGCCCAACGAGGCCTCCCAGACCCCCCCAAAGGAGCCCAAAAACGCCCCGAAAGAGCCCCAAAAGGGCATCAAGAGGCACACGCCAATGAACAACCGAAGGAAACTTGCCCTCCGATGCCTTCCGTTACCTCAAGATTTGGCTCGCACTGCAGGGTATTGCAAGGTCTTTGCAGGGTCTTGAGGGTCACTGCAGAGTCGTTGCAGAGACGGCTGGTGGGGATACGCGGAGCGTCAAGGACTAGATGGAACTCAGCTACATCAGGCCAGTTTTCGAGACCACAGACATACCAGCGCCGATGCTGGTACACCTAACAAATTTTTATCGAATC